AGACTGAAATCTACTGGTGCTTTCTGAATAAGCAAATTAAAGTCTCCTCAGATTAACACAGAGCCAAAGACAACCTGGTAAATAAGAGAAGACAAAATTACGTTCCATGTCCCTCCAGTATAAGTCAGAAACTCCAATCTCATTAAGAAATGTCCACACAAAGGGGAGGTGGAGTCAGGTTCTTGAGTTACTTACTAGGATAAGCATATCCATGATGTCTTTGCAGATCTGTAGGCTGACACCGCTCGTCACCTCCAGAAAGAGTTCACTTGTGCTTTTCTTGATCTGAAGAATATTCCACATTCAGAAAAGGAAAACAAATTGCAGTGCACTGCTGTATGAAACCATGGAATTAAAAAAACGTAATTCCAAAAAATTTTGCAAATATCATATTTCAGCTAGTATTCTGGGAAGAACACCCAGATCCAAGTGACCAGCTACATGTTAAACCCCCCTAACTTTATAAGAAAGTTCTGTATGTACACATTTCATTCACTAGGCATTTAAAAAAACAGCTGTATTCCATTGTCCCACTAGGGGGAATGCCATACTGGATCTGGTATTGGCAACGGGGGATGACATGGTTGGGGACCTACAGATCGGTAGCCATCTGGGGGACAGTGATCACCTAATAATAGAATTCACCATAAGACGTCGAGTGGGTAAGGTAACTAGTAGGGTGAAAGTGCTAGACTTTAGGAAAGCTGATTTCAATGAACTCAGGCGATTAGTCAAGGACGCACTGCAGAGTAGGAGTTTTGAAGTGATGGGAGCCCAAGAAGGGTGGCTGTGCCTTAAAGGAAATGATCCTTCGGGCACAAAGCAAGACGATCCCCGAGCGAGGCAAAAGGGGGAAAGGGGCCAGGAGGCTCCCCTGGCTGACCAGAGAAATCCAGGGCAGCCTAAGGGACAAAAGGGGAGCGCATAAAAAGTGGAAACAGGGAGAGATCACCAAAGACGAATATACCTCCCCTGCTCGTGCTTGTAGGGAGGCAGTTAGACGGGCCAAAGCTGCCATGGAGCTGAGGATGGCAACCCAAGTAAAAGACAACAAGAAATTGTTTTTTAGATATATAGGGAGTAAAAGGAAGGCCCAGGCAGGAATAGGACCCCTGCTAAATGGGCAGAAACAACTGGTGAC